TTCCAGGGACACATTTCTCTTCTCTGTAGTTTAATTCACATTCAGGAAGGGAGTTGAGTTTCAAGACTAGGGTGTAGAACTAGCATCCAGGAGTTGTGGCTTCTGCTTCCCACCTCTGCCACACTGACTTGCTGTGTAACCTTGGTTAAGTCATGTAATCTGCCCGTGCCTCGGTTTCCCTATCTGTACAAAGCTACCTCTTCCAGGGACACATTTCTCTTCTCTGTAGTTTAATTCACATTCAGGAAGGGAGTTGAGTTTCAAGACTAGGGTGTAGAACTAGCATCCAGGAGTTGTGGCTTCTGCTTCCCACCTCTGCCACACTGACTTGCTGTGTAACCTTGGTTAAGTCATGTAATCTGCCCGTGCCTCGGTTTCCCTATCTGTACAAAGCTACCTCACAGGGTTTTGTGCGGCTTAGTTCAATGCTTTGCGATCCTCAGAGGAAAGATGCTATGAAAAGTGTGAAGGATTCTCTTTATGCTCCTGACCGCTACTGTGTAGGCAGAAAGCTTGCATCACATGGCTACTTTGTTTCCTTGCATCCAGCCTTCTTCTTCTCCTCTTATTCCACCAAACCCAATTGTTCCAGAGCATGAAACGTACAGCACTTGGTACATCAGAGTACGGCCGTGACCCGGGATTGGTGAGAACCATAAAAGCAAACGAATCTATTGGTGTCAACCAGTGTCATTCCCGTGAGGCTGAGGACCTGAACCCAAAACTGTACTGAAGTCACTTTTTAACATGATCTTCCACATTAGCGCACACAATGGATTATGTCCAGTGTCTGGTCACCTAATTTATGTGGCTGTTTCCCTGCCTCTGTACTTATTCTACATGTATTGGGCTTTTACGTTTTCCTTGTTGACTAAAAGCTGAAGAAATGGGGTAATATGCATTATGTGTACACAGCTGAAATAACCAGTGCATATATTTTTTTATCATGAAATGTTTCGAGAAGTAGCTTTCTTGCACCTTTCTCACAGACATACAAAAAAAGTTGATACCTTTACTTACACATCAGAGTTCATGTATCTTACTAAAAGTTAGCATTATTTTTTCCTCTACCCGCCCATTCTTTTCCTTCAGTAACACTAAAGATTATTGCTAGTCAACTTTTTGCCTATGTATATTGTTTTTACATTGCTTAAATATCAAATCTGTCTCCCCAACTTAAGTTTTGTAGTGTTAATGTTATCATTGGGTTACGCAACTACAT